TGTTAGGAGTGGCATATTTCAAAAAAAAAGTTTCCCACCCTCAAAAGAAATGAAATAGATATAAAAATCTGCCTCTGACTTCATAACTTGAAGGCCGGTTAAATTATATATAAATTGAAAGTAAATCAAGCATTTACAAATTTATAACTGCTTTCAGATGATTCTTTCAATTTCCTCGAGATTCAATTGAAAAAGTATTTGTGAAGAAGAGATAAACACTTTATCTTGGCTTCTTTTTTGCTGGCACTGAACTTTACATCCTTTATATGTTTTGCAGGAAGTTTTACGTTATCGTTTGAAGTGAATAATATTTGAATCTATTTGAATCTACATAGTAATTTAAATGCATCGTAACTGTTACGCTTCGCGTGCTATGTGGTGAAGAGACATGCATCATACAGTCAAGCAAGCCCTTAGAAACGACGGTTGTTGCTACTTTCTTAAGACAACAATGGGACTGATATTATAACCCGTCATTTTGAAGTTGCGTTTTTCGCGGAAAATGAAACTGGCGGCAATTTAGAAATTTTCTGTTTTCTGTTTCTTACTTTCCGTTGGAGTCAGAAATTGATGTCTTTTTAAAAGCATACGTCTTATTATAATAGAAAATAAAATTCAAATTGGCCGTCCTAAAACAAATACGTTGAAAATTATGCGAATGGTCTGTTCGTTTTTTCTACTCTTTTCACAGACAAACTTACATTATATAAATTCTACAGAAGTATAAACAAGAGGCTCTCAAGAGCCTGAATCGCTCACCTGTAATTTTTTGCTTAAATCTTTCATCAGTGATTATTTTTGATTTTTAATATATATTAATGAGTGGCTTAAAAATCCCATTGAGATGTTCTTTGTATCTGTCATATTTTCTTCAAAAACAAAGAAATACATTTTACCCCTATGTTCCATTTTAGCCATAGTGGCTATGTTTCTTGACGTACAAGAAAATAAAATACAAAATTTATACTAGATACTCTGAAACTCATTCAGCCTTTCCTTTGGCTGAAATTGATTCAGCAGTTTCAAAGGAGAAGATTTTTTAAAGTAAGCAAACTAGATAAACAAATTGTGTAAAATTGTCCTCAAAGGGCAATACTCCTAAAGGGGTCAATTGACAATTTTGGTCATATTGAACTTATTTGTAGATCTTACTTTGCTGAACATATTTGCTGTTTACAGTTTATCTTTATCATTAATACTATTCAAGATTATAACCAAAAACTGCAAAATTTCCTTAAAATTGCCAATTTAGTGGCAGCAACCCAACAATGGGTTATTAGATTCATCTGAAAATTTCAGGGCTGCTGGAACTTCACCTAATGAACACTTTTACCCATGTCAGATTTGTTCTAACTCCTTTGTTTTTTTTAGATATAAGCCAAAAACTGCATTTTACCCCTATGTTTTTAGCCATGGTGGCCATGTTTATTGACGAAACATAAAATAAAACACACTCTTAATTCTTGATACCCTAAGGATCATTCAGCTCAAGTTTGGTTGGAATTGGTTTTGTGGTTTCAGAGGAGAAGATTTTTTAAAGTTAGAAAACATGATAAACAAATTGTGTAAAATTGTCCTCAAAGGGCAATACTCCTAAAGGGGTCAATAATTGACAATTTTGGTCATTTAAACTTATTCGTAGATCTTACTTTGCTGAACATATTTGCTGTTAACAGTTTATCTTTATCATTAATACTATTCAAGATAATAACCAAAAACTGCAAAATTTCCTTAAAATTACCAATTTAGTGGCAGCAACCCAACAATGGGTTATTAGATTCATCTGAAAATTTCAGGACTGATAGAACTTCACCTTATGAACACTTGAACCCATATCAGATTTGTTCTAACTGCTTTGGTTTTTTAGATATAAGCCAAAAACTGCATTTTACCCCTATGTTCTATTTTTAGCCATGGTGGCCATGTTTTTTGACGAAACAGAAAATAAAACACAATCTTTTTTCTAGATACCCTAAGGATCATTCAGCTTAAGTTTGGTTTGAATCGGTTCAGTGGTTTCAGAGGAGAAGATTTTTAAAGTTAGAAAACATGAAAAACAAATTGTGTAAAATTGTCCTTAAAGGGCAATAACTCTTTAAGGGGTCAATTGCAATTTTGGTCATAGTAACTTATTTGTAGATCTTACTTTGCTGAACATATTTGCTGTTTACAGTTTATCTTTATCATTAATACTATTCAAGATAATAACCAAAAACTGCAAAATTCCTTAAAATTACCAATTAGTGGCAGCAACCCAACAATGGACTGTTAGATTCGTCTGAAAATTTCAGGGCTGATAGAACTTGGCCTAATGAACATTTTAACCTCTCAACAGATTTGCTCTAATTGCTTAAGTGTTTGAGATATATTAACCCAAAACTGCATTTTACCCTTATGTTCTAATTTTTGCCATGGCAGCCATCTTTTTGACGAAACAGAAAATAAAACACAACCTTTATTCTTGATACCCTAAGGAGCATTCAGCTGAAGTTTGGTTTGAATTGGTTTAGTGGTTTCAGAGGAGAAGATTTTTTAAAGTTAGAAAACATGATAAACAAATTGTGTAAAATTGTCCTTAAAGGGCAATAACTCTTGAAGGGGTCAATTGCAATTTTGGTCATAGTCACTTATTTGTAGATCTTACTTTGCTGAACATATTTGCTGTTTACAGTTTATCTTTATCATTAATACTATTCAAGATAATAACCAAAAACTGCAAAATTTCCTTAAAATTGCCAATTTAGTGGCAGCAACCCAACAATGGGTTATTAGATTCATCTGAAAATTTCAGGGCTGATAGAACTTTACCTTAAGAACACTTATACCACATGTCAGATTTGCTCTAACTGCTTTGGTTTTTGAGATATAAGCCAAAAACTGCATTTTACCCCCTATGTTCTATTTTTAGCCATGGCAGCCATGTTTTTTGACGAAACAGAAAATAAAACACAAACTTTATTCTAGATACCCTAAAGATCATTCAGCTTAAGTTTGGTTGGAATTGGTTCGACAGTTTCAGAGAAGATGTTTGAAATAGTTTACACCAGACGGACGACGATGGACGCCAAGTGATGGCTAAAGATCACCGTTCCGAAGGAACGGTGAGCTAAAAATTAATACGTAGCATAAAGTAAAACAACTATTTAAATTAAAGATCTGTCACCCCTTATGAAACCCCGTTTAAAATTAAAATTTTAAATTCCGAAAGAAAAACATATTTTGACATTGTAGTTTTTTTTTTCGTCTCACACATCGATGTCAACATGCATGTGAACAGAAGGTACACAACATTTAGTCTTCAAAATATATATTTGTTTGAAAAAGCAATGGAGAATTCAGCTGTGAATTTGACTGGATAAATTATTCTCTTTTAGTTAAATGTTTGACATCATTCAGACACTCGTGATGTAAATAATTCATTATTTGTGATGGACTCCCGTAAAAGTTGAAAATTAAAAAATGGAAACATTAAAGTCTTGTCCTCCTTTGAACTTGAAGCAATCTGTATTAGACTTGCATTTTACTCACTCTTATTACATGCATAATCACTAACGGCAGTTCCGGGATACGCTTTTTAGACGAATCTAAACGAATCACCACGTGATAAAAATGTATGCATCGTCACCAAATTTCGTACTTAATCTGTATTATGTAGTAATAAGCATGTGTACAAGTTTCATAACATTTGGCTGAGGCAAACTAAAGTCAGAAAACGGAAACAAAAAATTGTACTTGATCTTAGTTTTGTGGTTATGAATAGTGTGTATAGGTTTCATAATGTTTGGTTGGGGCAAACTTAAGTTACAGAATGGAAACTAAAAATTTTGCAATCTTTCAATTTATAAAGGGGCATAACTCAATAGTGATTAAAGTGACACTACCCAAATTCAACTTGATCTGTGTTTTATCAGTGGAAGTCAAAATTAAACATTGCATTGTATGAAGCATTGATTGTAGTTGATTCAACTATAATCATGGACAAGGGAAGATAACTCCAATTTTAAAAATTACTTGATATTACGAATAAAATAAAATTTTGCAAAAATTTTGCAATTTTTCCATTTCTAAAGGGGCATAACTCTAGAACGGTAAAAGTGACGCCACCAAAATTCAAACTAGATCTGTGTTTTGTGGTGATAAGCATTGTGTATAAGTTTCATAACATTTGGTTGAGGCAAACTAAAGTTAGAGAACGGAAACGATAAACTCAGTTATTAATATAGTGATTCAGAGTAACTGCAAAGCCTTATTTCAGTCCAGGAACTATACTATTTTATAAAAATGATAAAATGTATTTACTTATCAAAATATTTTACATATATATCTGTAGTATAAAAATATAATCAACTGTATTTAGTAAAAAGGTAATTATTTATTTTAATTATGTTCCTTTGAAAATAATGTTCAACATATGGTGCTAGAATAATAATTATTCTAATTTGTTTGAAGTGTCAACAACTCGTAAATTACTATCGCAACCGCTTTGTCAGATCGAAGTGGCACATTTGCGTATTATAGCACAAATTTGACACGGGCCAGTTCATAAAAAGTATCATCACATAATTTTAATTCAGCATAGGTTGCCCCAGGTTAAGAAAGAAATTTCAACTTTTTTGTTGAAAAAATTGACTCGACGGATGACGAGCTCGGGTTTGAAGGCTTCGTATTCTAATTCAGTACGTTTTATCAAAACAATTTTTATGTTAGAACTTCTAAAAAAACATACGCAGTTGTCATTTATAACGTACAACACATTTGATATGAATTTTTGAATAAAACCGACTTGTTTCTGTTGAACAAAAAACGACAAAAAAATGCCCCAAATATGACATGACTTCCATTGTTGTCTTTAGAAATGGGGTAAAACCGGGGATATTAGTAAATATGTATTAGTTTTGTTGTTGAGTTGCTGTCTCATTGACGTGCACTTATTCAAAAATATTATATTAAAAAGAAGAAAGCATTCCAACGAGTTGAAATAAAGTAATAAATTCTGAATATATATTTTAAGTATTCTTTTAAAAAAAAACGAGTATGCACCTATATACGTCACATCTTATATAACAAATACACTTTGGTTTGCTCGGCATGTTTTTTTGTATATCTGTTAATACTTCATCTTAGAAAAATAACAGTATAAAATGTATAATCATTTTAACACGATCATTCACTTACAAAAGCAATAAAGTTTTAATCTTTTATCATTAATGCACGATGACTGGTTTCCATAACGATTAGTCCGGCTGACATGTCCTAATACTGAAAATTCAATTGCATTCGTTTCCTCTACAGTTGCCTCAAACATAGCAGCACTTGGCAAAACGTCAAAAAGAATCAAAAAACGTTTGTTTGTGTCCTCTTTTGGTTTGATGAAATTATGCATAAATTTCTTGTCGTCGTATTGTTCATTATGTCTTAATTGGGAGTGAATTAGTTTTGCTTCGATGATCCTATTTAATGTCAATGTTACGCACTTTTCTCTTAAATGATATAAATCACGGTTTATTTTTGTAACAACAAAGGCGGCTACACGTTCAATCCCGGTATTGTTTACTGGAATATTTTCAGAAGTGTAGCATGCGCAGTTATGTTCATGAATCCCAGCATCGGCACATGATCGCTGTTTTGGGATGTTTCTGAAAAGGCTAATTCCTCTTGACAACGGATACTGTACAACGTTTGTACTATGAGAATATTCGTTTTTAAAAATATCTACAACAGTTTCATAAAAGTCAAAAGGAGAAGTTAATCTTTCGACATTTGTTCGTAAGTTATATTCAGCTTGTGGAAATTTGTCTTTGAGGTTCTGAGGAAGAACAACTGAAAAGAATGGCATTCTCTCTTCAATACGTCCTATTGGTGTGTTTCGGATTTTATCTACTCGTGAACCGTGATCACTTACAAAAAATAATACTGACTTTTCTAAATAACCATCTTCTTTAAGAAATACTAAAAAATCAAGCAAATCATCGTCTGCTAACTTTATAAAATTTACGTAGTCATGACTAATTTCGTTTAACCAAGAAAGACCGAACTTTAACTTGTTGCGATAAGATTTTAAAAATCGTTTAAAATAGTCCAGCTGTAATACGTGTTTTGGCTTATCACTATAGCACAAGGTTGATGTTTTACCAACTTTGATATTTTGGTTTTCGAGAAATAACAATGCCTCATTTATCGTTGATTGATACTTTCGCATTTTGTTTATACCCAAATAGAAAGGACGGAAATAATGGTCTGTTGGTGATTGGTTGAATCCTGGAACAGCATAGTTGAACGTTGACAGTCTAGGCCAATCTTCAGCATACATAGTAACAGCACCATCTTTTGAGAAGTTATTCCAGATAAATGGATGTTTATCGAAAAACACATTCGGATCTACCGGAAAATCTTTGCTGTATCCTATACGACCAGACAAAAAAGCCACCATATTTGGAAATGTGTTTTCTCCAACTTTTGCATATCCCTTTAAAATGTATCCCTGTAAAGTATCTTGGAGATATCTTAGTGTTTTTGGAAGTTCGCGAATAGCTGCCAAGCGCGACATACCATCTATTCCAAGTATTAAAACACTGAAGCGATTTTCATCAGATGTGAATTTTTTTCTGGATTTATGAATATGGTAGTGTAGACGCTCATACAATAAATTACCGCTGTAATCGTAGCACTGAACTTTGATAAAGTCTGAGGTCAACTTTGAACTTTTAGAAAACCAAACTGGTAATCTAAATAATACCTCGTTATCGTTTTCAGTTTCTCGAATTATATTCTGACAACTACAGTTAACAACTTCTAAATTAATTCGACTATAATTAATGTGTATAGTATCGTTGTCATCGATATAAACTAGTTCAGTGTTTTTAGTACACACTATAGGATCTGGTTGCCAAAAAAATGCTAGAATATCTTTATCGAACGGATTTATCTGTGGAATCATGCACTGAGCATGTGTATTAGCATGCGTATAAACAAAATGACCAGGTGCTTGAAAGAAAACTAGATAACAAAAATAACTGATTCCTACTATCACGATGCCTGCAAACATGCGTCTTAAAATTCCGGCTTTCCAAAGCCTGCTTCTCTGTTTCTCTCCAACCATGGTAACTGTTAACTACGTCATGCATGTTCTACTAGTAATATTGATATAAAGCTATATATTTCATGCAAAACCCATCCAATGGACCATTGTTAGTAATCATCGAACAAAAATCACCTTTGGAGTGTAGATCTCTTATACCCTTTGCACCTAAAAAGATAAAATATTGTGATAAATACAAAAAAAAAGGAATTTCTATTGTTGCTCAATTTTGTGATAATAGAATATCTAGCTCTTAACGGATGCCTCGTTATTTTTCTCCATGTTTTATATGATGAATTGAAAAATTAATACATGAATAGCTATATAGTATTACACCAAGCTAGAACTAACTTCACAATGAACAAAAAATAATTTGCGATTTACATATCACCATTCTCCTATCCTTTTAGAACAGATGAATTGTAAATAACATAAGCTTAGGAGCTACAATTATACACAATATAGCAGGGATTCGAGAATTTAGAGGCCATGTCAATATGAATAAGCATTGACCTTAATACTATACCAACCTTGAATTTGCTAAAATTTATTTGCAGTTTAACTGATTGATTGATTGATTGCTTGTGATTAACCCCACTTTCAGCAGGCTTGGCTACATCGCAGTGGCCAGTTTTTAATTGTGGAGAAAGCCGAAATCCCCGGAGAAAACCAGAGACCTTCGTCAGGAAAATTGGCATTCCTAGACAATCAACATAGGAGTCGAACGAACCTGCCATGAGCGGCGTTTGAACTCACAACCACAGTGTTGACCGGCTAGTGGTCGCTGTAGATGAACTTCTTAGAAAACTCGGCCACCGAGACCCCTAAATGGTCAGGTAGTATACGTAACTTTCATCTTAACAATAAATCAAAGAGCTGATAGCTCCGAGATTGATGAAAATGAAAGGACAACTTGAGTTACAATGAAAGCAGACCACACCAACCAAGCCTGCTATATGCTATTGTTGTTTTCGACGTATTTTTTTCTTCAAAAAATAATATACTTACTCATGTCTCCTCCAAAACAGATTGAACTAGACATAAATTCTTATACCATGAATACTGTTGATTCAAATTAAATCTTCTATAGTTCAATACATTGCATCTCAACATGTTAAACTTGAGGGAAGCAAATATACCAGGAATTGATCATGTTGATGAGAATTCACTTAAAAGTCTTCTGTTGAAGGTGGTTATTGACCTTTAGGTATTCCGACTTCCTTTGTCAATAACAATTGGCCACTATGATTTTAGTAAAGTGTGCTGAAAGTGGGGTTTTTGTTTCATTATAAACATATTAGTGCTAAATATATCCAATGTAGATTTTGAAAGTTGGCAGGCATTAACACTGAAGTCTCCTCGGAAACTTTAATTTGTGCAACACTAACCCAACAATCAATCATGAACTGTTATAGTTGTCATCATATAGATTTGAAAGCGGTTCAAAATCCTTCATTAACTGTGGTTTTTTTTATGTTTGTTCTTATGTTGTGCTGTCTCATAATTGTCCCTGGGATTTGGTTTTGAGCACTTGTTAACATTTTAAACCTAGTTATATTTTCTGTATTTGCTTATCCCAAGGAACCTGTTATGATTTTATCAAAAAATAATTTCCTTGTGTCAGACAATTAGACTGACATTGTGACAACATATGTCAAACATTTCAAATTTTTATCGTCTATTGATCTGGACTGAGTATGTCCCAGGTCGTACTGTAACGTGAGAGCTAAACAGACAGACACTGAAACTGATTATTTTAAAAGGGGATTTATTACAGGGACTGTCCTACACTCTTAATCCCTAAAAGGAATAGCTGGTTCCCTACGACTGATGAAATTCCGCTTCTATAAATAAAATTCATATGCTCTATACTAGAAAGTATAAAAAGTAAAGCCCACACCCCCTTTTCGCTACGAGAATTCAGGAAAAAAATCTTTTTGTAACTGGTTCAAGACGAATACATGACAACTCGGACCAAAACAACTCGAACCAATCTTAAGACAACTCGGACCACTCTTGAAGACAGTTCGGACCAATTACAAAGGCAACACAGAAATGTTTGAAAGATGGTCGTAATGGAGGTACCTTCACGACGAATAACGTTAAAACCTTAAGCATATCAAACAACCCGTATACTCAATTTTTGGAACCCGATTTGGACAGATTCAGCATATCCAAAAAAGTACATCAAGAGTTTAATTAATTTATTTATTAATGGACAATATGAGCTAAGTTTTTAGAGGGGCTCGCTTCACTCATAGAATATATACATATATATAGCATTCTGAAAGGTAATTTATACAGAATAACAAACAAACCTATCACGAAGTTCTTCAAAAAATTTACATACAAAAATGAAAATAAATGGGAAATGTGTCCATGGGACACAGATGATGCACCCGCTTGCATTTAATGTTATGAAGGGAAATAACTCAAGAACAGTAAAAGTGACGCTACCAAAATTCAAACTTGATCTGAGTTTTGTGGTATTAAGCATTGTGTATAAGTTCATAACATTTGGTTAAGGCAAACTTAAGTTAGATAGATATAAGAAGATGTGGTATGAGTGCCAATGAGACAACTCTCCATCCAAGTCAAAATTTATAAAAGTAAACCATTATAGGTCAAAGTACGGTCTTCAACACGGAGCCTTGGCTCACACCGAACAGTAAGCTATAAAGGGCCCATAAATTACTAGTGTAAAACCATTCAAATGGGAAAACCAACGGTCTAATCTACATAAAAAACGAGAAACGAGAAACACTTATGAACCACATCAACAAACGACAACTACTGAACATCAGATTCCTGACTTAGGACAGGTGCAAACAAATGCAGCGGGTTTAAACGTTTTAATGGTACCAAACCTTCACCCTTTTTCTGAAACAATAGTGTAACATCACAACATAGAAAGACACACTATAAAATATCAACTGAAATAGCTTAACTCAATCAAAGGACATATTAACACCAATGAACATACACTGAACAAATAAATTTGACCTATGATACAATGTAAATACAAAATAAAGAACGGAAAGGAAAAATTCAGCAATTTTTCGGCATAACTCTAGAACGGTAAAAGAAACAACACCAAAATTCAAACTTGATCTGTGTTTTGTTGTTATAAGCATTGTGTATAAGATTCATAACATTTTGTTGAGGCAAACTTAAGTTGGAGAAGGGAAAAGAACAATTCATCAATTTGTTCATTTGTAAAGTGGCATAACTCTAGAAATGTGAAAGTGACGCCACCCAAATTCATACATGATCTGTGTTTTGTGGTAATAAGCATTGTGTATAAGTTCCTTACATTTGATTAAGGCAAACTTAAGTTAGAGAACGGAAAGGAAAAATTCAGCAATTTTTCGGCATAACTCTAGAACGGTAAAAGTGACGCCACCAAATTTCAAACTTGATCTGTGTTTTGTGGTCATAAGCATTGTGTATAAGATTCATAACATTTGGTAGAGGCAAACTTAAGTTGGAGAAGGGAAAAGAAAAATTAATAAATTTTTCCATTTAAGGAATGACTGTAATATTTTTTCTGTCTATGAAGAAATAACATAAAAAATGTGGTGCACACTGAATAACCCGCGTAGCGGGTTATTTATAAGTGTGCACCACATTTTTTAGGTTATTTCGAATAGACAGAAAAAATATTACAGTCATTCCTTATAATTTAATTCTAAATTCCATTTTTAAGGAGTAAATTTTGAAAAAAAACGTTGGTGACGTTACGGTCACATGACAAAATTATGTCTATGAGCTGATAGACAAAACACTTTCAGCCAATCAGAAGACGTATTACATCCAAAATTAAATTATTTGTAAAGGGGCATAACTTTAGAAATGTGAAAGTGACGCCACCCAAATTAAAACTTTTAGTATGACGTCCATTTTCACTGAACTAGTAAACATTTTTATTTAGGGGCCAGCTGAGGACCACCTCCGGTGCGGGATTTTCTCGCTGCGTTGAAGACCCATTGGTGGCCTTCGGCTGTTATTTGCTCTTTGGCCGGGTTGTTGTCTCTTTGACATATTCCCCATTTCCATTCTCAATTTTATTGATATGTGTTTTGTGGTAAAAAGCATTGTGTATAAGTTTCATAATATTTGGATAAGGAAAACTTAAGTTAGAGAACGGAAAGAAAAAATTCAGTAATTTTTACATTTGAAAAGGGGCATAACTCTAGAACGGTAACAGTGACGACACCAAAATTCGAACGTTCTGTGTTTTGTGGTTATAAGCATTGTGTATAAGTTTTATAACATTTGGTTGAGGCAAACTTAAGTTTGAGAACGGAAACCAATTTCGGGACGGACGGACGTACAGACGGACAAGGGTAAAATTTAATGCCCCCTCCGCTACGGCGGGGGTATATAAACAATTTCAAAAATATCATTCCCCATTAATACAGTCCTACAGTTATCCCCAAGATATCGCATCAAAATGATGATGGAATTTAAAATCGGCTTTTCAGTGGCTGCCCATACCACTTAGAAAACACAAAATTTTCAAATAAATTTATCACACCAATTATAAGTGTGTTAGTTGATGAATACCACACGTTTTCTTTTCTTGATAATTGGTGGATATTGCTGCATGAATGAATTAATAGTAAATATGTAACAGCCACTATATGTTCCATCAGTTACTTTGTTCCGGCGGAACTTTTCAACTAGTTATTTCGTTCCGATGGAACTTTCCAACTAGTTGTTTTATTCCGAGTACAGTTGAAAAGTTCCGGAAAAAAGTAGCTAGTTGAAAAGTCCCGGAACAATGTAGCTAGTTGAATAGTTCTGGCGAAACAGAACAACTAGTTACATCGTTCCGAATATACCATATTTCGTCCTTTTTGTAGAAAGAGGGGGAAGAATGAGTATCAGTATATATAAGAGCAAATCATTAATTTACAAGAATACCCAACGCACTGAAAGGGGTTTCTTTGGGGACAAATATGCAAAATTTAAGTTGTATTTCATAGCTCACATAAAACGGAATAAGTTGCATTATCATGCAAATTTAGTATTCATAGTACCCTCAAGAGAGGGAAGAATACCCCCCTCCTCATGTGGTTCTTTGCATCAATTCTCCAAATGGAACTTTGTGACTGGTTGATAAGTTCCGTTGGAACTTTTGGGCTAGTTTGTTAGTTCCGGTTTTG